TATCTCTATCTCTATCTCTATCTCTATCTCTATCTCTATCTCTATCTATCTATCTACTGGTAATATGTTGAATAATAAATATAAATAAATATCGGTACGATGATACTGGATATTAATCAGTGGTTAAAAGCATTGCGTTTCTGGGGCACGATTAATGCAAGATTAATGTTTATTTTTAAAGGCACAGAAATGTTAATTCTTATTAGCATTTTCTTTAACATTGCTGCCATCTTGTGACTCTCTCCCTGAACTGCAGCCAATGAGCAACTCCAAAATCATTTTAATTTGAGAGCATCTAGAAGCTTTGAGATATTATGTAGCTGTAAATGCCATCAAATAAATAAATAAATAAATACATACATACATACACACACATACATACATACATACGTACACAAACAGATGCCATTAAATGCCATTAACCTATACCATTTCAGACAAGTGACTGTTTGGTCTCTTCATAAAAACCACCACAAACTATGCACAACTTCTGAAGGCAACTTCTATTTCACTGGTTAATTGTCCTCACTGTTAGGAAGTTTCTCCTTAATTCCAGGTTACTTCTCTCCTTGATGAGTTTCCAACCATTATTTCTTGTCCTGCTTTCTGGCGCTTTGGAAAATAAATTTGAGCTTCTCTTTTTTGGGGGCAGCCCCTCAAATACTGGAAGACTGCTATTATGTCATTCCTAGTTCTTCTTTTCCTTAGACTAAGGTAAAGGTAAAGGTTCGCCTCATACCTCCGCGCTAGTCATTTCCGGCTCTAGGGGGCGGTGCTCATCTCCGTTTCAAAGCCGAAGAGCCAGCGCTGTCCGAAGACTCTCTGTGGTCCTGTGGCCAGCATGACTGAACGGCAAAGGCGCATGGAACACTGTTACCTTCCCACCAAAGGGGTCCTTATTTTTCTACTTGCATTTTTAACGTGCTTTCGAACGGCTAGATTGGCAGAAGCTGGGACAAGGAATGGGAGCTCACTCCATTATGCGGCGCTAGGGATTCAAACCGCCGAACTGCCAACCTTTCTGATCGACAAGCTCGGCATCTGAGCCACTGAGCCACTGCGTCCCTGTTTCTTAGACTAGCCAGACCCAAATCCTGTAGCCATTCTTCATATCTTCTTTCAGTCTCCATAGATGGGCAACTCTTGTGCTGTTCGCGGCAGCACTACTGAAAGGGGAAATGCGCCCCATACTTGTAGACAATGCTTGCCACACGATGCTTTGTTAAGTGGACAGCTTGCAAGAAATTGCAGATCTGCTCCAAACCGGGTTGCTTTTACCATTTCATGCCCCGATCACTAAAAAATTTACACTGGTGTAAAATAATACTGAGACTTAACTGCGGCACCTTACGTCAGGGTACAGAGCTAGTCCTCGATGTGCAGCGGTTCATTCAGTGACCGTACAAAAGTTACAACGGCACTGAAAAATGCGTCTTACAACTGGATTTCGCAGTTATGACCATGGCAGCATCCTCACGGTTACACGATCAAAATTCAGGTGCTTGGCAACGGATTCATACTTATGATGGATTGCAGTGTCCCGTGGCAAAGTCAATGAGGAAGGCAGCTTCACTGGTCAACTGTGCTACTAATGTGTTGTGGTCTGCCGGCAATCTGCGGAGACGGCAGCAGAGTCGGACAGTGGGGAAGAAAGGGGACCAGACCGGGAGTCTGGGGAGGACTCAGGTTCTGCGTCCAATGCAGAGATGGGGCCAGGGCCATCTGGGAGTTATGTGCTGACTCCAGAGCCTCCAGAATCTGACAGGAGTAAGGCAGAGGAACAGGGGAACTGTCATGCCCCTGTCAGAATCTGATTCAGAGGGGGAGGCCGAGCAATTGACAGGGAGCGGGAGTGTGGCTCCATTGGCTGTGAAAGAAACTGGGGAAGGGCAAAGTCCGGCTGGGCAGAGTAGGGGAGAGGTAGAGCAAGGGAAAGGGAATTCTGAGAAAGACCCAGGCCCACCCCCTCTTCATCCTAGGGCACACAGGGAGGAACGGAGAAGGGAGCAACATGAGTTGCGTGGCTTACGGGGGAGGAAAGCGTCCTGATTCCCTTAATTAGCTGCAGCTGGGAACACAGTGTTTAAAAAGGGAAGCTGCGCACAGCAAATTGTTGGGAGCAAATTGTGAATTATCTGGTATCGTCGAGGCTTATCTGGGTTCCTGGCGTCTTCTCACCTGTGTGTGTTTTGCTGGGCTTTCAAGTCTGCAATTCCTTCTCCTGCCCTGTCCAGTTAATTACTGTAGCATGGTTTGTGTGCATTTTTATTTATAGTTTGTATGTACTTTGTTTTTGGACTGAATTTCCTCCACTTAAAGACTGTTCTTGGGAGTTTTTTCTCCAGCTGAAGGTAACCTGGACATTGGGGGAAAAGTTGGAGGTATTAAAGGGACATTTCTTGCTTATTTGACTGTGTTGCCTTTGTGCCACACCCCGGGTCATCACAGGGAGCCTGTTTCCAGTGCGCGTGTGTACAGAGCTGCCAGAAGGCAAGAACAATCAAGACAAAAGGGGCGGGGAGACTCAGGAGTAAGGCTTGGAGGTGATTGCCCCTCCCATAAGACATAAAGGAGGAGAAAAGGACAGGAACCTTTGCAGGAAGCAACGTTGTTTGCTGTGTGGACTTTGTACTTCAGTTGATTTTTTTTATAGTTCATTTGGCACTTTAGTTGTTGGCAGCAATTCAAAGGAGATAAAGGTGGGTGCTTATCTCGAGGGACTGTTTGGGACTCATTACGGGCTGGGAATGAACATAATTCCCAGCGTTGAAATAAAACAAGAATTGTTTGGACTAAGCGTGTGCTTAATTACGGTCTCAGGAAGTCTTGGTCAGAACATAACAACCGCAGTGATTCATTTAACAAACCGGGGCAAGAAAGGTCGTATAACCAGGGCAAAAATTCACGAAACCCCTGTCTTACTTAGCGACCGAAAGCTTGGGTTCAATCACGGTCGTAAGTGGAGGACCACTTGTATTTTGCTCACTGACCTTAGCCTCCGGATCACTGTTGATGCTGCAGGAATCATCTTCGTCGCACTGCGGAACATTTCTGTTGAAGAGGAGAACCTTCTGTTAGACCAAGGTTCAAATATACACCAACAAGTCAAAAGAAACTCCAAACTATTACACCAAGGAGGGGGAAAATGTTTTAAATCTGACACTGGCGATTCCAAAACACTGGGCAGACTTCACAGGATGGGCTGGAAAGGTGCTGGTGCTTTTGGTACCTTTAAATGTGACTCTGTGCATTATAGGCAGCCCACCGCAGCACAACTGAAATAGAACTGCGCATTGATACAGTGCCATAAGAACACAATAAAATAATAATAATTAAGGACCAATAACAGCAGTCAGGAAATTGAAGGCAGGACACGATTCAAAATGATTCAACCTAACCCCTGTAACTGACAAGGTAAAAACAACAACGCACAACTGACAACCAAACGAAAATGAAACATTAATAAAAGAGAAACCTTCACCGCCAGCAAAAAAGAAAAAAATTCCTTTTGGTTTTCTTCCCAACATTTCTTTGTGGAATTAACAGTTCTTGGGGTAAAATGGCAGCCAATAGGTTTGATTGATAGATAGATAGGATAGATAGAGATAGATGACAATAGAGATAGATAGAAAGATAGATAGATAGAGATAGGTAGACAAATAGATATGGATGATATATATGGAAGACAGATAGATAAATGATAGATAAATGACAGTAGAGATAGATAGATAAATATAAGGATAGATAGATAGATAGATAGATAGATAGATAGATAGATAGATAGATAGATAGACAGACAGACAGACAGACAGACAGACAGACAGGAAGGTAGGTTAGTTAGTTAGTTAGTTAGTTAGTTAGTTAGTTAGTTAGTTAGTTAGTTAGATAAGATAGATAGATAGATAGATAGATAGATAGATAGATAGATAGTCGCCATCAAATTCAGGTAGCCCTCAACTAACAAGTGTAATGGAGCCCATCCATTACAGTCTTTTTGACAGTTAAAAAAACTGGACCAACCTGATTTTACAATCTGTTTTTGCTATGGTTATTAAGGGAATCACACCCAGGTTGTTAAGTGAATCATTAAGCAAATCAGGCTCCCCCCCCCCCCCCCCCCCCGTTGACTTTGCTTGTTGGAAAGCCAGGTGAGAAGGTCACAAGTGGCGATCACGTTACCCCAGGACACTGCAACTGTCATGATTACATGCCCAACTCTTGATCACATGACCATGGAGACACAGCAACGGTTATAAGAGTGAGGACCGGTTGCAGGTCCTTTTTTTCCCCATTGTAACTTTGAATGGTTACTAAAGACACGGTTGTAAGTTGAGGACTACCTGTGCAGGTCAAGGAATGGAAGAAGAAGATGAAGGAGGAAGAGGAGGAGGGGAGGAGGAGGAGGAAGAGAAAGAAGAAGAAGAGGAAGAAGAAGAGGAAGAAGAGGAGGGGGAGGGAAGGAGGAGGGATGGAGGAGGAAGGAGGAGGGGAGGAGGAGGAGGGGAGGAGGAGGAGAAGAAGAGGAAGAGGAGGAGGGGCAGGAGAAGGAGGAGGAAAGGAGGAGGAGGAGGAAGGGAGGAAAAGAAGAGGAGGAGGAAAAGCCGCCATGTCTGGGGGAGTCAAAAGAGGAATTAGCCTGGAATCATTATATTCCCATAAGTTTTCTAAGCCCAAGCCCCATTGAATTTCTGTTGACTTCTATCTAGTGCCGATTGGCTCGAGCACTTAAATAATCTCAACGGGAATCTCACCGCCTCATACACCGAAATTCCCTCTTTCTCACCTGAGCTTCAGGGAAGCATATCGCAAGGTCGCTCCTTCAAACTCTTTTAAACTGGGGTCGGGATTCACGGTGGCCGCATGTAGGTCCTGCGGAACGACGAAAGGCAGTTGCGTTAAGCCCACTGAAGAGAGCACCCCTCCCTCCTAAAGAGAGAGGGTGGTGGTGGAAAACAATCACAATAGCAGCAACGATGCTCGGCAGACACACAAGCATGCATGTTCACAGCACAATGGTTAAGGGCAAGCACGTGGGGAATGACAAAACAAGCACATCTGGGCTGTGTGAAAAGACCAAGCGTGGGAAGCTCGTGTTTTTTTTTGGGAGGATGGGGGGTTGGGGAGAAAGCTCACATTAATTTGGCCGATTTTGTTATTGCGAGTGATATTTGTGGGGGGAGAGCAGCCGTACAGCTACAGCCATGCAAAATATGGATCATTTAAAAAAAAAAAAAAAAAGAATAAAAATAAATAAAATCTGAAACGAGTGTCAACAGCTCTTCTGAAATCTGACCAGATACTTGCCTTCCAAATGTCACTATTAATCTTTCCCCCATTCAGCACCGCAAAATCACTCCAGGGCTGTTTCTAGATATATATATATATATGTGTGTGCGTGCATATATGTATATATTCATACGGGAAAAAGCGTATTGATTTAAAAAAAATAAATAAGAATAAAAATAAACAAGAAGGGCATGGAAAGGGAGGGAGGGAGGGAGGGAAGAAAACACAGAACACCTCTGTTAGCACCGATATTTAAAGGCTGGTTTAGGGAACATAACAACACCTTAACATTTCACGGAAATATAATTTTACGGCAAAGCGGAGCTGGCTCAAAGCACTGAGGCGCAAACCTTCAGAAAAGCTTAAAGCTTTTTAGATTTACAGATGAACAGAGTCAGAAAGGACCCTGTAGGTCATCTAGTCCAACCACCCCTCACTCAAGCAGGAGATTTGCTTGGAGGAGCTTGCCCTGAAGGGGTTTATCCTCATAAATAGTCACATCAATTCTGATCATCAGCAAGCTGATCTGGTTTTTAAGAAAAAGAGCAGTGGAAGATTTGTTTTTCCTTTTTCAGGTTCCGGCGTTTTCCAGATTGGTTCTGCTTTTGTTTCTCAATCATGCAAAGACCAAACAACCAACACAGAATGCAATTTTTCCCACTCCCCGTGGCTGTGGTTACTACTAGCCCAAAAAATTGGGTAGCACTGCTATCAAACATCAAGCAAACACATTTTTGAAGAGATGTTAACGAAAGCCGGTTGCCTAGCTTAGAAGTCCTCTGAGCCAGCCCCGATACAATGAGATTTGGAAGTAAGGGGGAAAACAAAATAGGTTGCCAAACATTATTTTGCAGACTCCTTGGAAATCAGTGAACCCATACGAAGGTGCCTTTATACAGGTTTTCCTTTCCCGTCAATCACTGCCCATGCATAGAATATAACTGAACGTTGCTTCCTTTTTTAAGCCATGATGGGTTTTTTTTAAAAAGCAGTGCTTTAGGATAAAATTTTGGTCTTATTCACCAATTCAGTCTCCATCACCATGGATAGGAAAAAAAATATATCTGACAGCGAAAAGGAGGCTGGGAGCGACACGCGCAAGTGAGGTTAATCAGTGGATGACTTCCCCTGAAAATAAGACCTGGTGCCTTTTTGGTGGGAAAAAATATAAGACAAGGTCTTATTTTGGAGGAAACACGGTAGGCATTAACGTAGTCTCAAAGATTTTTCTCAAGAGGCAGTCCTGCCAAAAAAAGATAATCCTTGATTTACCAAAGATTGTTTAAGGAAGGGGTGTCAAATTCAAGGCCCGCGGGTCAGATACGGCTCATGATCCGTAGACCAGGACATACTCAATATGAGGAGGAACAATTAGGCCAGCAGTTTGGGGAGTGGCGTCAAGCTGGCCACACTGACTCAGCAGCACACCCACCCAGTTGGCCATGCCCCTCCGGGTCCCTGAGGTCAATCACAGCCCTGATGCGGCCCTCAATGAAATTGAGTTGGACACCCCTTTTGTAAATCAAGGATTATCTGTATTTGGCAGGAAAGTCGTTGAGACTATGTTAATGGCTACTGTGTTCCCCTGAAAATAAGACCCTGTCTTATATTATTTTTGCCACCAAAAAAGGCACCAGGTCTTATTTTCGGGGAATGTAATCCACTGACTAACCTCACTTGTGCGCGCCGCTCCCAGCCTCTTTTTCACTGTCAGAGGCCTTCAGGAACTTCTGCTTTTGTGGCTGGCAAGGCTTTCCTGAAGGCCTCTGCAGCCAATAACAGAGCTCTGGATAGATCCTGGGCTTTGTTATCAATCTACAGAGGCCTTCAGGAAAACCTTGCCAGCCTTGCTGACTGCAGAAGAAATGGGCCACAAATGCAGATATTGGGGTTAGCAAGGCCTGGCTACAACTGTCCAAAGGTAAGTAGTAGGGAATCTCCACCACCACCCTATTCCCACCGTAGCTTAATTTTTACCCCTGCACTCTGGAGTGGATGAGATCTTAATTAGGGCTTATTTTGGGGAGTAGGGCTTATATTGGGCACACATGTAAAAATCAAGCTAGGACTTACTTTCAGGGTAGGTCGTATTTTCAGGGAAACAGGATACCTACAGTGAGGCTTGAGGATGCAAACAGCTTAAGGATCAATTATAAATATTATTTTCTAAATCGTTCCCACCTGCCTCATGGAATTACCCTGGTTGAATCTCCTGCTTAATTGCATCCTGCCTTGCAAAAATGCAATTTTAATAAGAATGAGGTCAAACCGCCAGGCTATATTCCATTCCTTCAAAGCAAATCAAAGTTGCTCCCCTGAGGACAACTTAAATTAAGTTGTCTATCCAAATAAAAAATGGATGTTCATCAGTGTCAGAGGCCAGGTATAACAATATGGCAGCTCCCCAAAGAATTTGTCCAGGTGACTTGACGGAAGATAATCAATTGATTATCTTAAGATATGGTTTCCTAATCATACATAAGTCATTATTCCGGGTCCTTGGCAAAGAGCCGAGCTCACCCAGATGAATATTATCTGTGAAAATATATTGTCTTTCTACAATCTCGTCTTGTGTCAGAAATGCACCAACTAGAAAAAGGGAAATTATTAATTTAATACTGTATTTTAAAAAATTCAAATGATTAAAATGATCAAAAACTATGATTAGATGTTTATCATCATGGAAGACAAGTAGGAGAAGGAAAGTTGTGTTGGATATGTTCGCTGCCTTCAGTTATTTGCAAAAGTAAATAAAGTCGGGAATAAAAATAAATAAAATATATGCCAGCAAACTTCCTGCAATCCAGTCAGACTGCGAGAGGCAGTGAATAAATCCTATCGATTAACAGAGCTATACATTTCATCCATTATCTGATTTTTTAAAAATCAGCATTATACACTTGCAATAATTTGCAATCTAACAACAAGGATTCACGACAGTGCAGTATTAGGAGCCTCTGTGGCGCAGTGGTTAGAGTGCAGTACTGCAAGCTACCTCTGCAGCCAGTTGCCTAGAGTTTGACAGTTCAAATCCCACCAGGCTCAAGGTTGACTCAGCCTTCCATCCTTCTGAGGTGGGTAAAATGAGGACCCAAATTGTTGGGGGCAGTATGCTGACTCTATAAACTGCTTAGAGAGGGCTGTAAAAAGCACTATAAAGCAGTATATAAGTCTAAGTGCTATTGCTATTGCTATGTCCTAACTGTGTATCTTCTGAAAATAAATGGCATTGCATAGTGATGTTTTGTCACTTGTTAAATATTGTATTTTATGAATGTTCTCTTACCGATAGATAGATTTGTTAGATCACAGGAGTATTTTCTAACACTACCCATTTAATCTGTGCAAAACCCAGCATGCAGATCCATGCATCAAGAAACAAAGGCAATCATTTGAGGGATATAGACAGCTGTTTTTATTTTTATTTTTGGTCGTTTAATGACCCTTGCTGGGTGGAGTCAGGGCAACTGAATGGTGCTGAAGTGTTTACTGGCCGGATGCCCTTCCCTGTCACCAATGCGGAGTTTTTCCCCCCAACAGATATATTCTCATCGTGCCTCCTAATTGTGAGGCGAGAGCTCCAATCCCTAGGCCACTGCACCATATAGACAGCTGATTGTTTTGCTTTAATTTAATTTAAAACAAGGTTTACTCTCCCTCTTTGATCATAGGTGGCATTCAACCCTTACCTCAGTTTCTGGAGTAGGCGACGAGGTGAGGGAACTCAAAGAGCCTTTCCTTGAGCACTGAAGATCCGTGGGCCCCGAGACGGGGCGTTCCCATTGGGTGGTCCCTGTGGGTATGTGCCAGTAATAGACGCCCGCTATATCGCTGATCTTCTTCCAACCCGGTGGAAGATCAGGGTCGGATTGAAAGGAATGATCGCTCCAAATATCTGCTGGGAATAAGAATCCACCCAAAAGTCTCTTTCACTGCGAAGCTTACAACGAATAGGAAAGGTGGGGGGGGGAATTTAGGGTCTAATATTTGCAAAATGGCCATTGTCTATGGAGATTCTCTCTTTTTTTATTTTCTCATTTTATTTATTGATATTCTAAGATACAAAACTACAAAAGAAAATAGTAGGAAGGATATGGGAGGAAAAGGGGAAGGGAAAAGTGTATAAAAGAGGGGCAGTAAAATCAGATAATAACATCAAACCTCAGCTTTTTACTTTTACATAATACGTAATCAGTGGTGGGATTGAATCGGTGTAACAACCAGTTCGGTGGGCATACACTTTGCACGCACGGTACTTTTGAAAATAGAAGGAAAACTTACTTTCTACTGCATCCTGGGTGAATAAGAACAACTGAGGTGCAGCAATACGCCGCACCAATCAGCTGGGCTTCAAACAAAGGAAATATAGAACAGAATAGAGCAGGGATGTGTGGGCGGGGCCAAATAATCGCCAGAACTACCAGTTTGCCCAAACCGGTCCGTACCGGCTGAATCCCACCCCTATACGTAATATATAATATACATAATAGTATAAACTAGCCATTTCTATCATAACAAACCTATCTAATTGGTAAACCCAAAATCAAAGTTTCAGGGTTTTTTTTTCCACCTCAAGCACAAAGTCCAGAAGTGGTTTCCAAGTAGAAACAAAAGTAATTGTGGTTTTTTTTCTTTAATCAAAGCAGTCAGTTTAGCCATTTCTGCTACGTCCATCAACCTCTGCAGTCATTCGTCCATTGTGGGAATCCAAATGTCCTTCCATTTTTGATCTATGGAGAGTCTCACATCATCCAGGTCAATTTTGTCCCCAAAGTGCTTTCTTGAAAGGCAACTGGACTTCCTTGTTTTTCCTTGAAGACTTTCGCTTCTCATTCTAGAAGCTTCTTCACTTCTGACTGAAAGGGGGCAGATGGAAGGATTTATAATCCTTGCAGTCCTCTGGTTGTTAGCTCTCATTCTGCTGAATTGCTGAACTTTCAGCAGGTGTTGTGGCCCGCCAGCGGCTGACGGAGCCGGCAGCAGAGTTGGACAGTAGTGAGGAGGTTAAGGAGGACTCCGGGCCATTCCTGGAGGCCCTAGGAAGGCTCGGATGAGGGCTCTGCATCAGAGGCAGAGGTAGGGCCAGGGCAGGTTGGCAGTCATCAGCTGCCTTTGGGCTTGGACAGCAGTGAGATGGGGGAGCTTCTAGAATCAGTTCCCAGCCTGCGCATGCGCAGAGCTGCCAAAAGGAAGGCACAATTAAGAACTCAGGGTCGACATGGGAGTAAGACCACAGGTGGACAGTGAATGGCCCCTCCCATCAGGATTAAAAGAGAAGCAAAAGGGGAGACGGCTTTTGCAAGAAACAACTCACTCATTCCTTCGTTCCAGCCTTGTGGGGATTTGTCTGTATAACCCAGCCCTTCCCTGTCAGCATTGAGTGTGGACCTATTTACCGGGCAGCCTTCCAGGATTGATAAAGGTCTGAGCTCATTAGTATACATTCGCAAGACTGTTTGCCAAGCCGTTGGCTGACTGTGAAGGAAATAAATTCACATTAATGTAATGAAAGAGGTTTTTGCCGGGGCTCAGAATTGACTTAGTGCTGTTTGGGGAGGCTTAGTGCTGTTTGGATGGAACAGCAGGTCCGAGAAGGTTCCACACCCATTTGCACTATTCGGGTGACCCTGAGGACACAGATAAACCTCCAAGTGGACTCAACGACTCTCAGAAAGAGTACTAACGACCAGATGACTGCAAGGAATAGAAATCCTTCTATCCTCCACCATTCAGTCAGAAATGAAGAAGCTTCTTGGATGAGAAGCAAAATGTCTTCGAGGAAAAACAAGGAAGTCCAGTTGGCCTCTTGCAAAAGCATCTTTGGGACAAAATGGCCATTCTGTCAGCAAAGCAAGCTTCAAGAAGGACTTGATTTTAAGATTCCCGCTTAACTCTAAAAATAAATTAACATCTCACCTCTCAGACGATCAACTGAATCAATTATTGTCACACCAGAATAACAAAGTCTTATTTAAAACCAACCATGTTTGTTCACTGATTTGGGGCAGTGCAAAAGTTAAAAACTATCCAACTCCTGAAGCACATTATTCACATTTCAAATTGTCCGTTTTGTGACTGCTGAATCGGAAAGTCTCTTTTAAACTATTATGGCCTGATTTAATGTAAGAGGCTGAGCCATAAACAAATCTTTACAAACAAGGTCTTTCAAATAAGGAAAAGTCTAAAACAAATCACATTATGGTTTAGCTTAGTGGATTAGTGGACCAAGTGGTGGATCAAGTGGACCAAGATAAATTCCTTGTGTGTCCAATCACACTTGGCCAATAAAGAATTCTATTCTATTCTATTAACAAAGTCACTGAAATTGTGTCAAACCAAGGGCAGAACCAATACGACCCTGCATTTATACATTTCATTTTTGTTTTTTTAAATCTTCTGTGGAAGACGAAAAGTCAGTTCTGAATTGTCTGAAATATGAATTCAGAATTTACAATGTTTTAAATAAGTATGTAGAAAATAACACCCCCCCCCCCCACACACACAAAGTTGTCTGGCTCATGAAGAGATCTTAGGAGGCTTTGAAAGAAACGGAAGGGAGATTAGACATAAACTATCAAATGTTTTACTAGCTTATCAAAATATAAAATTACAATAAAGAAGGAAAATCATGAGAAAGTAAGGAGGGAAAAGGGAAGAGGAAAAAGAGTAGGGGAAAATGGAAAAAAAGAAAGAAAAAAATCATTTCCAACTCTTCTTAGCGCAGTAGAATAAGATAGTAATATTACAGCCTCAATTTTTTACTTTTTATATAGTAGTAAATCATTTCTATAACAGCAAACTTTTCTAATCAGCAAAACTCAAACTCAAAGTTTCATTCCCCCCCCCCTTCAAATGATGGGGCTGCTTTAAGAGTCATTTACCAAACAAATTTGGTTGTTAGGCACTGCCTGCTGTGTGTCCCTTAATATTGCAAATAGTAGCTATGGAACTACAAAAATGAATTAGTGCAACTCCAACTCAACATAACATCCGTATGAAGGCAAAATATACCCAGCTGCTCCTAATGAGCGATTACTTCCATATCAACCAGCTGCACAAAGATGAAAGGAACACAGCAATAATTGTTCATGGTTTGCAGCTCTGCACACCACAAACAATCAGAAATTCAATTTCTTTCCCTGGGAAACAACATGCAAAACAAATACTGTAGCTAAGCCAGAAAAAAAACAGCATAAATAAACCTAGTAAAAGGCAACATGGATCTGAAAGCAACTTCTACATTTAGAGTCATAAACACTTCCAATTTCCCCAAAAGACAAAAATGTATTTTAGAGACCCTGGCTATATTAAATGCCAAATCAAAGCTAGGACCCAGAGGTGGTATCCAGCCGGTTCTGACCAGTTCTGGAGAACCGGTAGTGAAAACTTGGAATTAAGAATAGAATAGAATAGAATAGAATAGAATAGAATAGAATAGAATAG